TCCCCGTCAATAGTGTCAGAGACTTGGGGCCTCAGGGGAACTAGCAGGACAGCACATTGCTTTAGGGTCAAGTATTTCCATTGTCCTTTTCAGTGTGTTGACAAAAAGCTGTCTGCATTCTTAGAAAGGTCAGAGGTTGTGTGTCTTGTGTGTTTTCAGCTGCAGTATGAGGAACATAAAAGATCGAATGAGCTTGCAGTTACGTCAGGAGAAAACCAGGGAAAGATCCTGCCATCATCAAACTCTGGGTGGAATGGACCGAAAGAAGTGGATGCTGTTTATAAAGCAGCCACAGAGGGCCTGGAACTTTTCATCTACAAAGGGATGCTGATTGCCCACCCGGGCCCCAAGGGCAGGTGGTGTGCCCCCCTCAAGGGTTGGGGAACAGACTCAGGGCTGCACAAATGTCCAAAGCCACGGAACTGGTGCCAGAAACGGGGCTCCAACCGAGGCCCCCTTGCTCCAAAGCATTGCTCCTAGAGCATTCACTCACACACACCCCTAGGACCGTCAGAGGAACAGAGGAAGGCTGCACTGTGCTCTGGGGAACAAGTTGGAAAGGGAAAATACATTTGTGAAGCCATAGTGACCCTCAAACTGGATGAGCCAGGCAGGAGCTAGGGGCAGGGAGCTGTAGCCCCAGGCCACTTCCTGCCCGTTCAGCCCAGATTCTGGCCCCATCCAGGACACAACTGCAGCTGTCCTCACTCTGGGCCCAGGAGGACCTAAGCTCAGGGTCTAACCCCCACCCCTCATGGGCCCTTGCCTGGCCTGCTTTTATTTATTTCTCTAATTCACATTGATAATGCATTCGGACCCAAAGTCCGATCAAACAGTAGCCTGCATTTAACCAGAAAGTCCCTTGTTCCACTCTCTCCCCTTTCCCATCCAGGGTAACTTTCAGCCTTTGTATGTAGTTGGGTTGCAACTCTATGGAGTCCTTAGAGGTGTAAGTTTTTTTAAACTGTAGCTGCTTTTAACTCTGTAAAAAGGGTACCATGCCATACACAGCATGTGGGAACTTGTTTTTCCATCCACAGGATTGTTATATCACAGAGACTCGTTTGTTTCTCTGCGTGTCACCACAGACCATTGGTGTTGTCTGCCGGTAACATTCTGCCATTATTCACGTCCTCTCCTGCTGATGGGTGTCTGGGCTGTGGCCAGGTTTTTGTTACTGAGAACAGGCTGTTATGTATCCTCGTGTCATGTCTCCTGTTACACGTCTGTAAAGGGTGGGTGTCTCCAAGTGGAGAAGCTGAGTCATGGGCTTCGGCCACAAGCCCCCTGCCCTACTGCCTACAGGAGGCCCCCACCATCGAGGCAGCTCTGCAGGGCCCAGTGGACCCCAGGCAAAAGCCACTTTAACCTGACAGAGCTTCAGACAGAGCTTTCCTACCTGTCAAATGGGACTGATTCTATTACTTACTATACATTGATTCAGTCCGCACTGGTTGCGGACCCCACCCCATGCTCTGTGCCAGGCAGATGCAGCTTCGTCATCCAGGGATAGGTAGCTTATGCGCAGACTCAAACCTGGAAGTGAATAATCTCAGGACTGACAGATACTATCATTGCTGGAAACTGAGAAGCTGGTACAAACTCCCTGGGACAGGACTTTGGCCTTTCCGTGGAAGTGGGGGCCCACAAGAACGGGGAGCCCCCAAATTGATGATTCTTTTGCACTAAGAGGCATCTTGCAGAGGTGCGCTCCTGTCTGCCAGGGGTAAGCACTCCCTGGAGGGAGCCTGGGGCTTTCTCCAGACCTTTCTGGTTTCTTCTGCCCTGCCAGCTACCTTCATAGTCCTGCCTCTGCACATCAGCCTAGAACTTGGCAGATGCCATCATCCACACTGCCTGATTCGAGTCTCCTGGTTGCTCATGACACTGAAGCACGTTTTATTTTCTGTTTTACTACAGAAGAAACCCCTGTTCAGGATTGCCCTTCGATTTACAGACCCAATTTAGGGCTTTTTTCTAACTAAAACATGAAAGGGCAGCTCCTAGTTGCTAAAGACAGTAGAAATAAAATGTAAATAATACAAGGAACCTATTGGAGACCCAGGAGAAACAGATGAAAAAAGTGTGACTCGTTAAGAGAACAAAGCCTGACACATACCATCCGCCTGGTTTCTCCTTTGGGAAGGAAAGCCTGGCAGCCCCAAAGCACTACTGTCACTGGCTGTGTGTTTTAATGGGCCCCTGTGAGCCACAACAGAAAAACCTCAGCTGGGAGGCGGCCAGCAGTTGGCCAGCAGGGATAGGTCAGACTACTCTGGCCCCTCCTCCACCTCACTGTGACAGGCTACAGAAAATGTAGCCAACCTCCCATATTAAAAACTGAATGGGCCACCGTTAGGGTCCAGAAATACCCCCTGGCTTTCCAGGCTGGTGCTGTCATTCCAGGTGGACTGGTTGAGAACCTACTTGAATGAAGACATGAGAATAAGTAGTGTATTGTCCAAGATGCCTGTTCTGAGACCTGTTTGCAGAGCCTCTCTGGTTCAGGTGGACAGGTCATTTGGGTAGTGGGGGCTCTGAGCTTTCAGAGCCAGCTTTTGTTGGCAAATGTCTGGGCTTGCTCTGTAGTGAGCTAGCAGGCAACTTTGGCAGGGTCTGGCTGGCACAGGACATTGTGACCCTGTAGGAAAGGGCATTTTCTGGGTCTGACCCCCTCAAAGCCAACTCCCACCTCCCTCTGCCCTGATCTTCTACATAGGATTTCATGTGCAGGCAACCTTTACTGAGCCCTGGCTATGCAGGGGGTCTTTGTGTCATATTCTTAAGTACCATGAGGGCATCTAGAAGGGAAATAATCTTCACTTTAGGTTTCCTCAGAGTACTTACCCCCAGACTGAGTAATGTCCGGGTTTTGGTCCTCTTTCTAGCTCTTTGTAGACAGAGTATAGAGAGGCTACAAATACCATGGCCCAGCATCTGGGTGTGGACCCAGCCATGACTCCTTAGAGAGAGCAGAGTGGGGAGTGGAGACCTTAACCTCTTCGAAAGGAGGGGAAAGTCAAGGTTATGCCACATGTGGACAGCAGTGTTTATTCTGGTCAGAGCTTCTCTGGCTTGGAAGGTGGGTGTATGGACACAGTCCACCCCATTGTTCATCTGTCATTGAGTGTTGACTGGGCCCAGCCGGTGTCAGGTTTTAGACGTGCATACAGAGAACTCACTGTCCTTGCCTGTAAGAGCTATGGTCTACTGAAGGAAGCAGGCCTACTGAGGATCATTTGTAATAGATCTTGGGATACACTCAGGACCATCACAACAGTTGCACAAATTGTACACTGCCCAAGTCTAAGGGTGTACTTCACATAGACTATGAAATGAAATTCCCCCAGAAGTTGTGATGTGCCACCCACCCTGTTGTCCACAGTGGCCTGAAATTCCTCTCATAGACATGGTGTTAGGCTGTAGGCTGTCAAGGATGATCACCTACGGTAGGAAATGAGGGAAAGGCCAGCTGGTGACAATCAGGAAAAGTTTTACCCCAGAGGATGTTGAAATTTGGTCCTGAAGGATAGCTGGGAAGTCTCTGACCAACAAAAGGAGAAGGATATACTGGGCGTTGGAAAGAACATTTGTCAGCCTTAGTAGGCATGAGATTGGGAGGCCAGTGGGGAAGACCAAGAGTGGAAGAGGAAGGGAGGCAGGAGGTTGGGACCACTTTCCAGGCAGGAGTCCATCATTGGTGAAGATGTAGAGAGAGGAGAAAACAGATCTCAGAGTGACTTGAGAGGTGAGACAGGGAGAGGCTTACAGACATGGAGAACATGGGAAAAGAGTCATCTGGGGCTGACTCCTGAGAGCCATAGTGGCAGGTCCCTTGGCTGATCTGCTCTCCCCAAAGCCTGCCTGAGCCAAGACACATTTCAAGATGGATTTCCAGCAGCTGGCAGGTCCACAGAGTAGCTAAACCTCAGGAGACAGGTCACTTCAACAGCATATTTATACTGCATTTACACACAGGTCACTGTTGCCTTCTGCTGGTGTTTATGCCCTCCAGAATAATTTGTGTGGTCTATTTTGGGAGTGTCCCTCTTGGCCGAGGGCACAAGAAGCAAATGCCATGACTGCTGGCCTTCAAAGGACTCTCTAGGACAGCTGGGTAGGCCCACCCCACCCAGAGAGTACCTGCTCAAAGCATTCTTGTGATTGGGGTCATCGGAGGCATGAGGGGCCCTAGGCAGGGGCGAGGCCTGACTAGTACTTGCTGCTTATTAAATCACTGTTGTCCACAAAGCAATTATAGATTTCATTTTCAGACAGTACATGCAGATTGGGTTATGGGACAGGCAGGGACAGAGTTGTAATTTGAAAACCAAAGAGCTAAAGGGAAATTGACACGTGTGTGCTGTTGGTGGAGTAGAATGCCCTGTTCCCTTCTGGGAGAAAAGAAGTCCCTCACTGAGGCCTTTTCTTTAAGGTCAAGTTGGCTGGGCACAGGGGCTCATGTCTGTAATCCAAGCACTTTGGGAGGCCAAAGCAGGAGAGTTGCTTGAGGCCAGGAATTCAAGACCAGCCTGGGCAACAGAGCAAGACCTTTTCTCTTAAAAAAAAATAAATAAATAAGAAAAATTGGACAGATATATGGTGGGCACCTGTAAGTCACAGCTACTGTGAAGGCTGAGGTAGAAGGATTACCTGAGCCCAGGAGTTCAAGGTTCCAGTGAGCTGTGATCCTCCCTCTAAGAAAAAGTGTGATCCTCTAAGACTCTTGAGCTGGCAGGATCTTAAGGGCTGGCTGGATCAGGGATGCCCAAAGATTGGGAAGTACAGAGAGTTCAATCAGCATTTCTATGCCTCTCTGCCACCTCCTGAGTCAACTGGAGACACATGTCAGAAGAGGCTTGCAACTTATTTAAGGTCACCCAGCAACTGGGATCAGAGCTCTCAGTAAACTGAGACATCTGCCCCTGGGTCACAGTGGGCAGCTGCCCCAGGGGCCTGCCAAGACTAACGAGCTATCCTGTGTCTGTCTGTCCACCCAGGTGCAAGTTCTTCAGTCTGACTGAGACCCCGGAGGATTATACCATCATTGTTGATGAGGAGGGATTCCTAGGTAAGTGCTTCTCTCCCCTCAGGGGCTCAGCTGGACCCCCAAAGTCAGTGCTGGCCTGGCCCTCCTGCCTGCTTGTCAGCTAGAATTCTAGTCAGCAAAAACTGTTTCATTCTCTCTGTGTGTTCTGGTGACCCCTCTCCACCTGCCAAGCACTACCTTACCCAGCTGAGAATTAGAGCGACCAAGGAGGAGCATGTTTTGTTGAACACCTCCTGTGAGCAAGGTGCTTTTTAAATACCCTCAGCCTGCGTTCCCATTTGGAGAGGCCTTAATCATGATACTTCTCTTATTTTCATTTACTTTTTTCTATTTGTTAAATAATTCACATATCAGCTTGGCGCCTATGGCTCAAGCGGCTAAGGTGCCAGCCACATACACCTAAGGTGGTGGGTTTGAATCCAGTCCGGACGCGCCAAACAACAATGATGGCTGCAACCAAAAAATAGTCGGGCATTGTGGCGGGCGCCTGTGGTCTCAGCTACTTGGGAGGCGGAGGCAGGAGACTCGCTTGAGCCCAGGAGTTGGAGGTTGCTGTGAGCTGCTATGCC